CCCCCCCCCCCGCTGCCCGCTACTCCTACAACGTCTCATCGCGCGTCGGCTCGATCCTCCCTCTACCGACAGGTCCTAGGCCAAGGATACCCTGAAATCGTAACGCGCACAAAAAGTAAGTAGTTAACTCGGCGTTATCCGTATTGTATGATAATAATAGATACCATGACACTCAGACAGTCATTCATGGCATCCCATCCCAAAGTCAGGTGCGTGTGTCTCCATATTCAACCATAAAATCAATTTTTATATTCGTACCTGGAAGGATACTGCTCAAAACGTTTCAGGAGTATCGAAAGTAATCCAAATAATACTGTACAAATCAGGGGGGGGGTCTAGTTCGTGTGCAGCAGTATCGAAGTACCGCGGAACATCCACAAAGATGTGTTCGTTTCGAACGTCAACTTCTCTAGATGTGGTCTGGGGTTCAGAAAAGTCGCTTCCACCCTCTCTTGATCACCAAAAACCATGGACCCTTTAGGTCGACAGATAGTGAGCGTTTCCCGCCGCGTGCTTTCTGATATTTCCACAGCAGTTTGACATGTGTACATGTGTATGTTTACTTTAAGGCAACCCAATCTGCTGTGCTGCGGTGCATGTACGCAGACCTGCGTTTCGGATCTTTCCAGCATAGCGCAACAATATTGAACTTTGATCTCAACATGCTTATCTTCTGACGGATCAAATCGCTCCAAACCTTTTGTAAAAGATGTCAACAGTACCTGAGTGCATGATGTTGGCGACATTTTGTTGCAACACGATAGACTCGTGGAGAGACTGCAGCAGATCCAACCCTTACTCGGAGATTTCCGAGTTGTCCTACGGTGGTACGCCTTGAGAAAACTGGAAATCTACCCCTACGGACTAGCACCGACTGTAAAACAAAGGCTGCAAGGTTGACAGATAGCTACCTCACCTATCTCAGCCGGAATATCGACGCTCCCAGCCCTGCTGCGCCCTACAAAGCCGGCCGTGTGAGGCGAGGTCTTGAGTTGTTGCGCCGCAAGAAATCGAGGGGTTTCAGCAGGGGATGGCTTCCCGCCCGAGGCGTTATGTCTCACACTTATTTTTGTTTTTATCAGACGTGCAGCACTGGAAAAAGGAGCGAAAAAACAATTTCAAAAGCACCCGTGTCGAAGCAAGCCGACGAACATCGTCGACGTTGCTACTCCCAAGCTCACGTATTTGACATCAACGTATGTTCGGGGGCATCGTTTTTCGAGCAGGGCGTCGTGTGTCCTCGTGTCGTCGCTGCTCTCTTGTCTCTTGCTTCTGATGCTTGGTCTGTCGCAAGATATGGACGAGCGTATCGTACGTGCATGTGCCTTTCGAAGGGTTTGAAGGGAAGGATGCAGGGGGTGTCGAATGCAAGGTGTATGCGTCGCGGCGCGTGCTGGTGTTACACCCATCGTTTTTCGAGCAGGGCGTCGTGTGTCCTCGTGTCGTCGCTGCTCTCTTGTCTCTTGCTTCTGATGCTTGGTCTGTCGCAAGATATGGACGAGCGTATCGTACGTGCATGTGCCTTTCGAAGGGTTTGAAGGGAAGGATGCAGGGGGTGTCGAATGCAAGGTGTATGCGTCGCGGCGCGTGCTGGTGTTACACCTCGGATGGTACGTTGTCTCGCATGGTTTTGCGGTGGAGGGGTCGCTGAAAAAGTTTCAAGCGCATCAATGGGTAGCAGTGCTAGATGTGTTGGTGTCGGGAATACGTATACTTGGCAACTTAATCTACTTGAAAGGGACCCCGAGGTCCACCACCATTGATTCCGCGTCTGTCGTCATAGTTATGCTGCCGGTTTGGATACGAGTAAGCTCATTACGAAGAAAACAGTTGATAGCAATCCACCCCGCTCGCCTCCCAACCTCAGGATGCACCACTAATCGTACGACCCCTCGCCCCCCCGTCAATCGGGCACGGGGCGCTCATCCAAATTTTGAGTTTTCGGGCTTGTATTGCAAGGACCGAAGCTCGTCGTGAGTCGTGAACGCGACGATATTGATTGCAAGAAGACGGCACATGAATGTTGTGTAGGCAATTTGCACAAAACATGATCGGCCCGCTGTGTTTCTGCTTTGCTTACCAACCGCAAGCCGAGTACAGAACGCCCCACCACATGGCGGGTGTGTGTGTAGCAGAACGTGAGCCTTGAGACAATTTAAAAAGTGATATTTTTTAGCGTAGTGAATTTCGGTCAAGACGCATCCTCGGGTAGAAGTCCACGTTGTTGAGTGTCGGAAACAATCAGCGAGCGTCGCTCATAATGGAGAGGTCCTCAGTAGTGTTGGGTGCTTCAATCCTACATTAATACTGCACGAACACCACAACCCAGATTCGCGCAGCACGTCTGATTCCAGGTGCATGGGAGTTTAGAATGCGCGCGACGCCTTCTACGCCACAAGAAATTATTATTCAAACAAAGCGCACCTAGGTCCCCAGAGTAGTAGACTACTGTAGGTGATTCATGTCTCCTTGTTGGCGTGCATTCCGAACCTTGTCGGCACACGAACGAGGTTAGTATCCTTACCCTCCAACCCCGCCATTCCGCGCCCAACAGGCCAGTATCGAGGCGTGGAAAAGAAGCATCGCCTACAGTCTTGAAAGCATCTACATCCGCGTCTAATCTTCCCCGTGCACCAGAACAAAACGAGGCGGTTGGCACCAAACATGGTGCGGTACATACCACAGCCGGCAACCTTCATAATCATGTCAACGACTGTACTGCCGCTGTTGACACCCCTACATTCCTTCAGGGTGACATACCTATAGTTGCCAATACAGCAGAGGTAAACATGTCCACATAATTAGTGTGATCCAGCCCCCCGATGTCGAGGAAGAAAGGTTTCACACGTCAACAAGAAGTGGGTACCGTTTCATGCGGCCGTTCAAGAACACCGGCGTTACTCGGATCCTTCCCTCCATCTCATGTGTCGATGGGCCACGAACACCCCGCCATGTCTTCTAGCGGGGACAAGTCGACGCACACCGGCTGCCACACCATGAAGGACGGGAATGGAAACGGAGAGCGGCTGCCTGTTAACGAGCTCTGTTTGACGCCCAAAGTTCGGGAAAGTAACGCATACGTTCTTGTGATCTCAATCAATCTGCACCTCAAGCACGTTGGCCACAACGTCCGCAACAGGGACGTCTCTAGACTGCTCCGACGATTCCTTCTGCGGCGAACCCATCAGTGGTCTTTCGGTGGCGAGGTGACAGAGACATGGTTTTCCAGAAGTGGTGCGCCTTCGAAAAGAAGAAGCTCATACAGGCGACACGGCGACACATCCTTCCTTGATGTAATATTCTTAGGGCGAGTCGGTAGCATCACTTTTCCGCCTGCCGGGGATGTTTCTGATAGTTCGGCGTTTGCCTTTGGGAACGGCCCACCATCCGCAACTCTCTACGGGCTGCTGATCCCCCTTGTGGTATGCATACTAACGAGTAGAATCGCGTTGTACCACCTCAGAGGTTTGTGCCGCGTGGGGTTGTTCTGTTTTGGCAGCCAAACCTTCATCGACACAGGGCATGAAAAACCATACCCCAGCGAGCAAATCCCACAAACAATAACACCATCCGTATAGCACACGTGCAGACGGTCGTAAGAAGTCTCACCGAAATGAGATCGTGCCACCGCCGGCCTTCTTCTTTGCCACTGCCGGATCCGGCCGGAACAACTGCAGCCGTCACCGCGTAGCCGCCTCCCGACTCGTTGCCCCCAACCGCCGCCGCAGGCGCGAAGCACTGATAGGGATCATCTTCTGCTGCCTCGACTGCTGATGGCTCGCTGCCGTCTTTCTCCTGCGTTTCCGATTCCTGTTGTAACGCTCGGCCATTGTTGCCGGAACTCCCTCTAGCATTATCCTGATCCCGACCCTGCTCCTTTCCGAAGATGTGCTCTCCCATCGCCTTTCGTCGTTCCCGATAGGACGCTATCTTGCTCTACCATGCACGAATTGTTTGATGGGGTGGCAGAGAACGGTAGGAAAGTGGAGGGTCGGTCCCTCACCGAATGGGAGTGTCCAGAGGTAGGTAGATAGTTGGGTCTTGTAGCAAGTGCCCGCACCCCTTTGGGTTAATCAATATTGGATACGTACCCGTCACAATAATTACCCTCACGAATGCATACGACTCACTTTGTTCATCGAACATCCACCTGGGCTGTACATGCAAAGGGGGATGCAAGCTGAATGGAGTCGAGCGCAGAGAGATAGATATCGTTCTTCTCGAACCCGCTACCGATGCCAACCCTCGTCTTCAAATACGAAGATTACGTCAGCGCAACCTCTCCCCAAGCGTAGTTGCCCCCCCCCCCCCCCCCCCCCCCCCCCCCCCCCCCCCCCCCC